GGGCAGTGCTGAATAATAAGTCTCTGCGGGTGATCCAAAGTGTCAGACGGTGTGAATAAAGTGTCGCAACAATTAGTGAAGGAATGACCTATAATCCAATTAAATGAGGCAGAGAGATAAATACTGGAATAACATGATAGGTATAAGAGTCACATGCTGAAGGTCTAACCAAAACTGTACAAACTAATTAAGGTAAAGAGATCATAACAATTTATCCAGTTGATATGACAAAACAGAACAGTAAGGAAAATTTTAAAGATACAGAACAGTGTGGTCAGGTCACATGTAGCACAACATGAACCCAAGATCATGGTGCAGCAACCAAAGAAGAAAGAATTGAATTGGACCCCTACAGTAGGCCACTGCCCTAGGCTCAACATGTAGGTTCAAGCTGTCAGGAGATGTGTCAACATCAGATTCATTGGCCATGCTCACAAGATAGCGCAGAATGTCACCCAAGCACAACGCAACGCCATCCATCCTCGCAGGACCAATAGCAACATTGTCATCAAACCAGCAGACAGAGGAGGAGCTATTGTCATACAGAATAGAACAGATTACTGCAAAGAAGTGTGCTGACAACTGAATAACCAGGAACACTACAGACATCTACCTGCTGATCCGACCAAAGAACACACCCGTCAACTGAACAGACTGATCAAAACATTTGATCTAGACCTTCAAAGTATCCTATGCACTCTCATCCTGCACACTTCTTGCATAGGACACTTCTACTGCGTTCCGAAGATACACAAAGCCAACACACCTGGACGTCCCATCGCATCAGACAATGGGACCCTGTGTGAGAACCTGTCTGGCTATGTCGAGGCCATCTTGAAACCCATCGTACAAGAAACACCCCCAGCTTCTGTTGCGATACTACAGATTTCTTACAGAAACTCAGCAACCATGGACCAGTCGAACCAGGAACATTCCTCATCACAATGGACATTTCGGCACTCTACACCAGTATCCCGCATGACAATGGAATCGCTGCAACAGCCTCAGTACTCAATACCAACAACTGCCAATTTCCCCACGCCATCCTACAACTCATCCGTTTCATCCTCGACCATAACACCTTCACCTTCGATAACCAGTTCTTGATCCAGATACACGGAACAGCCATGGGGACCAAATTTGCTCCCCAATATGGCAACATTTTCATGCACAAGTTCAAGCAAGGCTTCTTTGCTGTGTAGTACCTCCAACCAATGCTATACACCAGACACATCAATGACATTTTCTTCCTTTGTACTCAAGGCGAGGAATCACTGAAACAACTACATAGTGATATCAACAAGTTTTATCCCACCATCAGGCTTACCATGGACTACTCTTCAGAATCGGTCTCATCCTTGGACACAAACATCTCCATTGGGGACGGACACGTCAGTACCTCACTCTACAAAATCACACAACAACAGGTCATAGTCCAACAGCTTTATTTGAAAGTGCAAGCTTTCTGAGCACTGCTCCTTCTTCAGCTGAAGAAGGACTGAGGCTCTGAAAGCTTCTGTTTTCCAGTAAACCCGTTGGACCATAACCCGGTGTCGTGTGATTTCTGACTTCGGATCACCTGCAGGGACTTATTATTCGGCATGCCACTTACACCATTTGTATGGTCTTTTGATCTCTCTGCCATTGATTTCTCTCTGCCCATAAATTCTGTGTCTGTGTGCTTCTCTCTTGCTTCACCTGACGAAGAGGCTACACTCTGAAAGCTTGTGATTTCAAATAAACCTGTTGGACTATAACTTGCTACAACAAGGTGTAGAGCTGGATGAACACAGCAGGCCAAGCAGCATCAGAGGAGCAGGAAAGCTGACGTTTCGGGTCTAGACCCTTTTCTGAAGAACGGTCTAGACCCGAAATGTCAGCTTTCCTGCTCCT